ATTGGAGGCCCTTCTTGCTCTCAGTTACCTTTCATCGGAAGGTCTTTTTTTCAGTCTCAAGGCACTGAAATGTGGTTTCCTGAAAAGGAAAAAAACTTCTTTGATCTCAAAAAATCAGCCTTTGTTTTCTCTGACGATGAAATCTAATGCTCCGAGATTGATTTTTGCAATGTACCGAATAATGTTCAGCGAATTCCACCAGTGCTTTGGCCCTTTTCGGTGGAACTAAATAACTTTGTATAAGTAAATTAAATGACCGAAAATCGCATAACTAATGATAATCGTTCTCACCATGTTCATGGCACCAGTTGCGTGCTAAACTTTTCACAGGGGAAGGGAAAATCGATATCCGCTTCAGAGAAAACGGTCCATGTGTAAATTTGATACGTTCGCACTAGTACTGGATATTCACTTAAGCATAATATTTCAACACTCTGGAACTGTGTGCTTTGGAGTTTTTCCATTTCTTTTTTTAACTCTGTTTAGCACTCCTTTGCCAAGTGTAATGTTTTTTAGGTTATTTTTTTTGCCGATACTCAGTTTGTTCGCAGTTTTGCTTTTTAGACTGTTAGGCTTTCAGAGAGAAAAGGGGAGGCAAAAGACTGGAATCGTCTGGTATGCCAGTACGCGAGACTCCCATGTGCCTAAATTAGACTTTTCACTTTCCTGTTTTGAGCAAATTTTTTGTATAAATATAGAAATGAGATTTGTTCTGCTCGAAGTGGAGCATTAAAAAAGATGTGTAGGTGCCGCGTTCGCAGGAGGAACGTGGAAAAGGTTCATTCTGGAGATTGGAACCGTCAACAGCTTCTCGTAATATAGAGCTGGCTTTTAAAAAGAAGAAACAAGGAGGTCGTGGCAAGTGAGCTTTTCATAGTTTTCTGTACAGTTGTACGTCCATAAGTAATGAAGTTCAGTTTTTTTTTTGTTCTTTGTTGGAAAATTTTCTGCTTGGACAAGTAAAGTAGATTTTCGGATCTCAAGCGGTAACTAGTGGCCAAGCAGGACTTTAATATCCTTTTTATGCGTTTTGTGCTGTGTAACAGTACAAAACGCATATTGACACGGGGTCGTCTGTGTGTGTGTGTGTGTGTGTGTGTGTGTCCGCAACTTTCAACTCGGGAACCACAAAAGCTAGAAATCTGAAAATTTAGGGCAATGTCCACCACCCACGTGCGACCCAGGAAATTTAAATTCAGCCATCCTCTGCTGGCGAGTAACACTTACGGCCCCGTAAAGTGTTGACGGGGAAATTATTATCTCGGGAACCATGGAATTTGGAAAGCTAAAATTTTAGAGTAATGACCCCTACTTACGTACGACCTTGCAAATTCAGCATTCCCGCGCTCTCGGGTGTCAACTGTTGCCCCGTGGAAACTTTGGCGGGTCTCGGAAATGCTGGCTATGCTGGTACGTGCTGCTATTTATTTATTTATTTATTTTTTTTTTGCGACTACTTCCAAACCAATCCAGACTAATTTTGACCCCAACTCCGGATTATTAAACCAATCAATCAAAGCGATCACGACACGACGATATGTGAACCTTGACACAAAATACAAACAATTGGCAACCAGAGAGACAGAAGCTTTGCCAGCTAGAAAGACGAAAAGCGCTGGTCTAGCCCAAGCCCTAAGCTAAAACCCCAGGGACTGACTTGTAAATGCGACGTGTCGATGACTGCCACCGTGGTCGGCACAGAATGGAAAAATACACAGAAAACCTTATTTTTTTGGTGGAATGGTGCGGACTTTTAATATTTGCATAATTTGAATTGCAGAATTGC